TAATGGAGTCAGCATGTCTGCTGTAGTCTCTGGGTCCACTTTCAGTGCTTCAGGTGGTATTCCATCTGCTTTTCCAGCTTTCAGAAGCTTGATTGCATTCAAGACTTCAGCTCTCGTTGGAGGATTGGTGTCAACTTGCAGTTGTGTGCGCGCTGTTGTTGGTATTTCTGGACGGGTTGCAGGTGATGGTCGGTTCAACAGTCCTTTGAAGTGATCCGCCCATTGTTTAATCTGTTTTTCTTCCTTGGTGATTGGGTTCTCTTGGCTATCTTTTATAGGTTTCGCCTGTGTTGATGTCAATATATCTTTAATAGATGTTTTCCATTTTCACGCCAAACAATTTCCCGCTCTTTCTCAGAGCTAGAAATAGTTAAAACCAGTTCATTTTCTATTTGTTATAATTTCGCTGACAAGATAGCATATGCGGCATATATACTATTTATTCTTAATGACTGCCAGATCGATATTGACCTTAATTTCAAAATCATCTTGTTACTAACAGAAAACATAGCATATTATTAATCGAGAGTAGGTAGGTGGTCTTGTTATCTGGTTGACCATGACCTTTATTTCTGATTGTCCATATATGTCACTGAAGACAATACGTTCATATAATCCAAATTATCTATCTAGTAAATACATGTAAGGCTATTTCATACATTTTTTAAACACTAAGCAGAATGCTTGTTTATTGCAGATGACTGAAAAATATCATGCTATACATGATAGTTTAAATTTACACTAACGTGTCTGTTGATAATAAATAAGAAAATTGTAGAGGGAAGAAAAACAGACACGTGGTTTCTCTGTGTACTTTTCCAGTTTTTTTAAAAAAGGTGTTTATCATTATGTATTCTGTTTAAACCAATACTATGAAATCTATTGTATGTACAGCACAGTACAAAAAATACACTGTTAATTTTGTTATTCAAGTGTTGGTTTGCAAGGATTTGGTTAGTTACAGAATTTCATCATCAGCTGACACCGGTTAGAGAACTATAGGAAAACTACCACGGAGTACTGGAGAGCCATCTTGAGTCTCTTCATCAGTACGCACCCACCGAGGTTCAAACCCATTAGCTTTCGGTTACAAGGCGAGCTCGTAAACCATTACTCAACCACTGGAACCCGATTAATGAATTCCAACTTCTTCCAATTCATGATGTAGAGCAATCACTAGCCAATGTCATCAACGAGTATTTGTCTTGAACTGGTTGGTTGACAGTAATTATTACAATTTCACCTGTTATACAAATATGTTGAAGCTGACCCTGAGGCATGTGGAACAGTATGCAAAATCACTGAATATATATTTTATTAGGAGGAAATTTTTGATATTTTTCACACTATCTAGTGTGAACCAGAACTCCTTACCCATACGGGAAACCACAATTTCGAAAGTTCAACAGTCATTGTGTAGAACAAATGAGATGTGCGCCTACAGGAAAGTTGATAGCAGCAGACAGAAGAGCTGGATCAGTCATAAAACATCCATTTCATTAACTACTTAATTAAATTATGTATTCATATCAGTTAAGGGACAATTGTTTGTTAATAGTATTAGTGATTTTATAACATGAAATTATTTAGATCAAAGAATCGGACAACTTTATGCCAGGAAGGTGTGAGTGAAGTTTTATCAGGCAACATTTTGAAGCATAATCATGTCTAAACTATGCCGCATGTTATACGTTTTTCAAACAGTTAATTGCTAACTGAAACATTCTGACAACTAGGTTATGCAAAATGACTCAGTTCATTTACCCGGCACAGATTTTCCATGTTTCAGGGTATGGATTACACATATTATATGAGGGATGATGGTACTACCTACTTGTCCAAATTGTAGTAAGTGAACTGGGACTTACTGGCTGAAATTCGAGTAATACTTGCATCTCAGACAAATTCATTACTAGTATCACTGTCTGTCTCCACTTAGACTTATATACAAAAGTAATCACTGAATACTTAGAGTTACATTCACCAACCAGATTACCAAAAGCATTCTTAGTATAATTAAACTATCTCTTAACCATATCAATATGATTATAATTAATACCGTGAGATTATTATTTATTTTTTGCCTTCTGAGTAGAACATAGCACTTCCTAGGCGCATCTCCGCGAACTCAGTCCTCTGCCATTACTTCCAGTCAGCCCCACAGGCTTTCATTTCTCCATGCTACCCTTGGACGGCCAACACGTCATTTCCCTTCAGATTTCACTCGACGGGTTGTCACTTGAATATCTCCTCAGCATGTGTCAAATCCGTCTCTATTTTCTTTAACACAATCACTGAACTATGGCTTTTTGGTATGCTATAACATAACCACCTGTAAATGAGTGTAATTCATGAAAGTGCCTGAGAAAACGCACAAAGAACCGATAAGCAAACACAAAGTGCAATAATATAACCATAAATTTTTAGCATCCATAGATTGTCCTAGAAAAATTCATGGTTAATGCATCATTATTTCTATATAACAATCATTTGTTTATTTCGATAATGACTCAGCCTTGTATTGTGAAAGATTAACTGATGTTGCTTAGTTACGAAACGATCATTGACTTTCGCTATACGCAATCATTTATTTTAGCGAGATTTCGTTACATAAAGAATAAAATAATTTTTCTCATAGTGAAACTATCTGTGATACCCTTGCATTGGTAGACAACTCCAAATAGTGAAATGGGTTGTGACTGAAGGTTAAATGAAAATCTAGGCAACCACAGGATTCGAACCAACAGTCTACCGGTTAAATTAGTTTACCAAAAACTTGTAGTATTTGATGGCTACGCATAAATTTGAATAAAGCAAGAATAACAGTGGTTTGTGCAGAATAATATAGCTCAGACCATCATCTAATTCAAGGAAACTTTAAGGTGAAGCTGAAATCACTCAAAATAACTGGAGACAAACCACTAAAATTCATTTAGAAACTGAAGAACAAAACTACAGGGGATGCCTTCACTATAAATCAAACAACCATGTGGCATCACTGAGGAAACCTGCATAGAAGAACTATGGAACTAACTCTCTGAAGGCGATGTTAAGGGAAACGTGTACAACCGTCCTAGGAAGAAGGAAGAGATAAGACAAAGAGTGGCTCGCAACGGACCCCTACCTGGAGGCTAATAGAAGAGAGGAGGATGGTGAGAGAGATGACTCAATGCAAAGGTGGGCAACAGAAAAAGAAGCTGAGTTCAATGTACATTTCACTGAATCAAGGGAGAAGTGAAAAAGAGCTCTAGGAAAGACAAAGACAATTCTACAACACTGGCTGGCAACTGAAGCAGAACACGTGGGTAGGCCGCAGGTAAAAGAGGCCTCAGCACATTATATCAAATAACCAGGTCTCTATCTCGGAAGAGATCAACCCAGATGATGGAATCAATAAAAGATGTTTAAGGGAACCTGATTACCAAGGAAGAGGAACGAATAAATAATGGTCTGATAAATTCAAAGGACTCTTGAATCGACCACCAACTGCAACTCGCTCAGAAACACAGTACCCTCACCAGCACGCACAGAACTGCCTGCCAGTGGACATTAATTCTCCTACGAAAGCAGAAATTCTAAATGTGATCAAGCTACTGAAGACAAGCTGAGAAGGCAGTAGGACCAGACGGAATTCCCCCTACCCGCAGCACTGAAAACGAACCAAGAGACTGCAGCAGACGTGCTCACATCATTACTCCAAAAGGTTTGGAAACAAAGAAAAGTACCTACAGATTGGAAGAAAGGTTGGCTATCTTGTCAAGCTGCCAAAGAAGGAAGACTTACGCCTCACTGAGCAAGAACTAGCGTGAAATAATGCTCTCGTTCACCTCGAGTAAAATATCAAGTCGCATCATCTTGGAGAGAATAAAAGATTCACTGGATACAGAACTCCACCGCACCAACCAGAACAAGCTGGATTCAGGAAAGACAAATCATGTGCTGATCAAACTGTAACTCTACGCACCATCATCATCATCATCATCATCGAAGAAAGCATAGAATGACAGTCAAACGTGTATCTTAACTTCACCGACAGTTGACCGGGAAGTGCCACGCAGATGATTTCTAACACGGCATTGCAGACTTTTATCAACAGTCGCCCACTTCGCTGGCCAGTTAGAAGTAATTAGCAACAAGAAACACTGGCTGGGAACAAACCAACAGGCGAGAGTCGATCGCTCAATAAATATGTAGAATTAATATCAGTAAAAAGTTTGAGCATTGTGGATTAGATCAAATAAAGTATAATTATATTTTAATAGTTTACACACAATGATAAGTTTTGTTGTTGGTAATTTTGCTCGAAATATTACCAATAACAAAACTTATCATTGTGTGTAAACTATTAAAATATAATTATACTTTATTTGAAATATATAGAAGAAATTGGGGATGCATTGATCGGGTATACGTTGAAGAGGCCATCAAATGACATCGCGAGCAATGCAGGCCATTGCTCGAGTGGAATCCAAATGGGAAGCGACGAGTGGGTCGTCAGTGAGAGGGTGACATGGAGGAGATGAGAGATTAGACGCAACCGTGGACCCAGCTGAAGAGGACGGGAGAGGATAGAATGAAGTGGAGATGTGTTGTTGAAGCTCTATGTTCCATTCGGAAACCAAGGAAATAATATAATTTACTTCGTTGACTTTGTGTCAGCTGCGCTTAGTGTCTAGATAAATTATTAAGTTTATGTGGAGAAAAGTTTCGACATACAAATTTTACATGATAGCAGTCTACAGGAGTTTCCAGAATTAGTGAACAATGTTCAGAAAATCAGGCTTATAAAGTTTATACACAGGCAGCTCAAGTTTAAACAAAGTGAATGCATGCATACAGTCGTAGGGGAGTTACGTAAAATAGACGATAGATGCGTAAGATGATGAGTCACTAATGAATCATTAATTCCGGAACCTCCTGTAAACTAAAATCATATAAAATTTGCAAGTATGCTAAAAGTTTTCTGTACATGAACTTAAGAACAATTTATTTGGGCTGTAAGCAGATGATGAGAAGCCATTCGAAAGAAATGATGGCACCATATCATTTTGCACTAACCACTTTTCCTCTTCCTTGATTCAAATTCATCAAGGGGCATAAATGTATGAAGTACGCAAAAACTGGTGAAATCAGACGAAATGATATCGATAATTTTCTATCCTCCTTTTTTTGTTACCATTTAAACCATATCAGTACGTGCAATGCATACTCAGTACATGCGACCCCACAAAAATGTGGTTATAGTTATTATTGTCTTTTAAAACTCAAGTGGTGCCAGAGTGAATGGGTATTCATACAACCAGTGATTTGAATCTCATCTGGATAATCTACCATTTTTATGCATAACATATGAAGAAGACTTCATGCCTTAGTAATGTGTTGAGGAAAGATACTTAGTGTACATAAAAATAGTCTACATACCCAAACCTGACAGAATAAACAGTTTGTATCGGTTACATCGCTTTGAACAAAATGAATAAATAGATCAAGAAATTATGAATACGTTCACAAGGAAATTAATACACTTACTTTTATATACATTTGGATTGGATTAACTTTAAAAACAAAATGTGAATTTCATTATATTGTATAGCATACTGATCAGTCATTTTCTCAGGCTAGATGAGATTATTTAAGGCACTTAACACTTTTTCATAAATAAAATGTGCACATGAATATGCTCAACACAGTGACAACAAATTTTTAGAGTAGTTAATCGATTTTTAGATGAATCAGTTGGGCTGGCAGTTGGATACACAAACAGTCACTTTCAAGTAAATGCTTCCGTAAGTCTGTCACTCTCTGTGGGTGTTATCTTCCTCCTTTACTGACTGACGGATCAACATAGAACTTTGTAGAGAAGTGCGTGACTTCTGTTTGTCATTACGCCTGTTTAACGCAGTGCTGTCAAAATTATATGAAAGAAATATAAATTAATTATAATACAACCAGTTCCCCTGATTAATCTAAACAAAGAACGAAAATATTTGCAGAATAATGTCATTTTATTTAGTGGATACTTTTCAACTGCATTCATCCTAAGCAGTATTGAAATATAAGTTGTAACATTTCTGAACATACTTTTGTCACTCACAGTGACATCAACTTATGGATCGAAAGCATAAGTAACATAATTCCGAAATGATGTAAGTAGACAGACTACTCAATGTTTCTGCGTCGGTGGCACAGTGGTTAGGATTCTCGTCGACCATGCACATGGTCCGAGGTTCCATCCCCTGCCGATGCACACCTGATATCTATGGTCGGCCTGCAAAATTTGGGCTACCGATATCCATGCTGAAAATTCCATACTTGTACCAAAAATACAGTGTGGAGTGGGGTAGAGTTCATTTTATTTAGAAAAGGTGATCGACTAGGGATAGAATGCAAATCTGAACTCTGGTCCTCTGTTTGTTTAATTAGACTTTAAGTAGTTAGCCTTTTAACACCGAGTAGTATGTCTACTTACATCATTTCGGAATTATGTTACTTATGCTTTCGATCCATAAGTTGATGTCACTGTGAGTGACAAAAGTATGTTCAGAAATGTTACAACTTATATTTCAATACTGCTTAGGATGAATGCAGTTGAAAAGAATCCACGAAATAAAATGACATCATTCTGCAAATATTTTCGTTCAAAATAAATTGGTTGTGGAGAAATATATATGGGCCATTGTTATTATTACTGTAAGTTAAGATTTCCAAAGCACCTTGACCATATTTTGCCTCATGTTGTCCTGAAAAGCTGAATTTAATGAATGAAACAAAGCACTAACGATTCAGTCAAATAAAAGCTAGTTAATCCTGCTAACATTTTATAACTTAACCCTTATACCTTTCCGGACTTACCTCACAATTTTGTCAATAACTCGTTGTCAACACAACAAAGTGTATTCAAAACCCTTTTTTGTAATTTATACATTCATATATAAACCATATCAATTGATACTATTATGAACAACAATTTGTACTGCTAAGCTGTTAGATTACATGGCTAAATAGGACTACGAAGATGAATAATTTACCCATTCAACCTGACTGGTATATACTACTTCTTAGTTCTGAGATGAACATTTTCAAGTGGATCACTACAAAACATACTATCCTTGTCAATACTTCATGTTTACATTCATATTAGATAAGTTTATTTGTTATAAAATAGTTCTAATTATCTAGTTTATTTATTGTAACTGGTTTTCGATAAAAAAATTTCAACCACATAAGTATTTTAAAATAAGTGATTTATGTCAGTTGCAGCGATTTGACTGGACAAATTATGGACTCTAGTAACAGGAAGCCATCCAACTGGATTCCCGTTGATTAACTCGAACGAGGTAAAAACATACTGAGCAGGATGGAAAGACATTATATTTTGGACTGACATTGTAATTTCCTATCCTTAATTTTGTCTTGATCCATGTTCTTGACAGGACTCTTTATTGACTTCTGTCCAACTAAATTCCTTAGTTCTCACTTAGGTGTTACTGATTTACATTTTTATTTAATTCGTGACATTCATTCGAGGTTGTAGAACACTATTTAGTGATTTCTTTAAATACTGATAATCTAAACAACACTTATTCCTTCCACTGTGATATTTAATCAGGTGATAATAATATCGTTCATCTTCATAAATAATAACTCAAGTATTTGAATATTTATACACTGACATTAAATTATTATTTAATTTTTTGTGGTTGTATGCAACTAACAAGAACCGGTGAATTATAATGACGTCATTTTATTTCACTTAATACGGTCTTCATGCTAAATTTGAAAATAAACTTTTCCAGTTTCCAAAGTGAAATCTAGCTTTAGATCGCAAATAGATGGAAACTGCTGTAAAAATTCCAATTTATTTAGGTTGGTTCGAATAGTGTCATACGAACGTACAATGAGTATGCTTCTAATCCTCTAAGTAGTTTTGAGTATACACTGTTATTACTATTATCGCTATTATCTGTAATGTTAATTCTCCTGGTCTTTCACAACCAGTGTCACAAAAAGTCCGTGAACATATACCAGTATCAATAGTTAGACCTTTATTTGAAGGACTTTGTCAATAATTGTCACAAATAACACATTATATTATAAAAAAATGATAAGATAAAACTGAGAGCATAAAATGACAAAATAATTTCAACTACAAGCATTTTTGTAAGGATTTTGTTATATTTCTGAAAGGAAAATGACAGGAATTCCAAACCTGAGTGGTAGAAGAAAAGAATTAAAAGATAAACAAAAAATAAAATTATGCATTGAGCTCCATCTAAATCACTAAGGTAAAATAATGAAGTACAATGAAATCTTTTTGAAATGAACACCGGAGTAAAGCTATGTACAATCAAGCGAAATAAAAAGAGTAATAACGGTGCTCTGTCTCAAATAATAAGGAACTTGTAGTGTGGCGTGATAAAATGTTACGAGAAATTTCGTCAGTAGAACTCACTTACCCGGTACTGGGCAATGAAACACACTGTGTGAAGGCTGATGATACTACCCAGCTGTCCAGTTTGGAGTAGCGTGAGATCAAAATCTGGCTAGAGTCGGATGTTCAAGCCAATGGACCACAATATGTTAACATCATGTAGTAAGAATAAGAGGTAGAAGGAACGCAAGAACACAGCTAGGTCCTAAAAATTAATCACAAACAAAGTAAGATATAATGATTATCAGCATATGAACAACTGGGTAGCCAGTGTCTTGCTTTGTGTGTTACATGGAGTGTGGCGACCTGGACTGCCGCATATATGTGCAAAGTTCTATGTCTAAAAACAGACAGACAGAGTCTGGGATAAAAGAAATAAAATCAAACAAAACACACCACTTCATCGCTGTAAAATAAAATGACGGAAATAATTTATATTCCGGTACATATCAGCGGCGCATTTCTGTAGGCATACAACGCATACTATATCCTACACTTGTGCCAGGAGCATTATAAGCATTCGGCTGCGTACCTGAGTTTCCGGACTGATTAACAAACTGGGAATGAAAAGTTGACTGCTGAACCCCATCACGATTATGAGCGTGTGGTAAGACCTGTTGTGATTGCTGAACAGGTAGACTATGATGATTATGATTTCCATACACTTGAGGTGCTGCTAGAGCACGCGGATTTGTTCCAACTGTATTGTCCATTCCTTGGCACTCTGCGTTGTTCTGATGTTGATTATTGCCATCTTCACATTCTGCGTTGGAATTCAACAAAGACTGATTAGTGTTAGAGGAATTGGTGCCTAGGAGTGCCCAATCATATACATAATCTAAGACGAAATTTAGGCTTTGAAATAGACGGCGGAAAATTCCTCTTAGAAAATGATAATCTGGAGTACTATCAAAGGCCAATCCACGAGCGAAATGCAAATACTTTTCGAATTCGACTGGATAACCTTTACATAAAGCCTCAGGAGATGTAGCCAGCTTTTTCTCGTAAATACGTTCATACTTTTGCTTTTTTGTATTCGCCTGTAGAAAATCAAAAACAGTTTGCATGAGCGTTGAAAATCTAAAATAACCAAAGTAATGTCAGTGAACAAAAGATACTTTCTAACTGCTAGCTTTTACACAACGAAATATTTAAACTTTTCCTCTATAAAATTGATAAGCGATGCTCTTTACTTGGAAGTCTAAGGATATGATCAACAATCTAGCAACAAATAATTATAATAAGAATAGGTGTATCATTTTGAAAATAAAATGCAAATGTAATTTTGAGTACACCTGTCTTACCCGGTATGGGAAGAGGGTCGCAGCTTCGCTAGGAATTTTGAGCTAGACGTTCACGAAAAGGAACACAGACTCAGTGCTTAAAAGAATTAACGATCCGGAAGCCTGTCAGTTGGAGATACTCCACTTAAATGCGAAAAGACAGTAACTACTTAACAATAGAGGTGTCAATTAATCACTGAAAATAGTAAAGTAAGAAGTGTCATTTTGTGTGTTTACCAACTACACAAGTAAAATTCATAAGGACTGTCATTTCAAAAGTCTGAATTTGAATACCTGAAGTATACAGCTGACGACAACATTGCCTGAAGCTGTAAATACGCGTATACAAGATGTACTTAGACATTATTCATATTCGGAATCCATGAACCAGTAAACTCACAGCTTGTTACATCTATTCAGTACAAGTTATTCAGCTAGAGAAAAAGCTACAAAAGTAAATAACTATAAACTTTCACTAATTAAACAAGGAAAATTATATTGAATAACATATATTCACTGAGTTAATTGTAGAGCGAATACACGATTACTGACAGTTTGCTCTTATAACTTTTACTATTTTGAGGTTGCATTGCAAGCTGGTATCAGCAAAAAGAACCCAGTAAGGCCGAAGAACTCAAACAATTAAATATGAATGTCACATTTCAAAACAATTTAAGTTTTGGGAATCAAATAGCATGTTTTTTATATAACCACAAACAAGCTGATGGATAAAGTAAGAAATAAATATCACAAATCTTACCTTGAGACCTTGCCACGGAAGGTGTCCTCTGAGAAAATACATGAAAACATATCCGAGAGATTCAATGTCGTCTCTCCTGGACTGTTCTATACCAGCATGAGCATTTATGCTGGCGTAACGTGCTGTGCCGGTTAGGTTCTTGTCATCTCTGTAAGGTATGTGGCACTTTGACCTGTGATCTCTGCAAGACATGTAATTTGTTTCGCTATACTTACCTAAATCTTTTCGCTAATCCGAAATCAACAATGAAGACTCGGTTGCAATGTGGACCGATTCCCATCAAGAAGTTGTCCGGTTTAATGTCCCTATGGATTAGACCTCTGTAGTGAACATGTTCTATACGCCATAGCATTTGTTCAGCTAACGTTAAAACTGTTTTCATGGAGAAACGACGTCCACAAAATGTGAACAAATCCTCGAGACTTGGACCGAGCAAATCCATAACCATAGCCTTGTACCGGTTACTTACTCCATCCGGCCCAAACCAATAAACTCTAGGTATTCCTACTGACGTCTGAGGGAAATAACTATAAGAGAAAAACTGACTTGTAAAACGCGGTAGACTCGACTCTCATACAATAACTGAGGATGTCTAGCTGTTACGGGCTCTAGCTTAATTGCGACCTCATCACCCGTCAACATATTCTGTCCAAGATATATATCTCCAAAAGAGCCACCACCGATTTTCCGTACAAGTCTCCATTTGCCTCCAATCAACGCATTAGCGCTCAAAGAAACTTTTCTAGACTCCATAACAGTTTTAACTGTGCGCTTGGCGTCCAATGGTTAACGTTCATAAAATTTAGCCGGTAAAACGTGGTTGACCTTAAGCCAATGTTCCAATGAAGTAATAATCGAAATTATCCTGTTATCGAAACAGCGAGGGACGAAACACTGTGAAATAAACATTTTTTATCAACTTAATTATCTTGAACAAGAAACTCGAATGAAGGACTTAAAAACCTTTAGTTTGACCGTAAATTCTAAAATTATATTCAGATAATGAGATTTTTAGTGACTCAGACTAATTTCACTATTTACATTTTTTCACTAACCAACATAATTAAGAGAGGACACTGGTCCTCGAACTGCGAGTCGCGTCTCGGAGGCCAGCATATCAAGATGCTCATCGAAGTCACTGACATTGTGTTACGAACTAAGTTAGGTTTCACTTTATTACTTTATTCCATCTGAGATTGCTGAATTATTAAGAAATCAGCTCCTGTAGCCAGAAGATCATGTGTTCAATCTTCGATTGGGTCATGAAGGGAATAGGATGAGACAGCTATCCAATGCGCTCTGGTTTGAATTATTTTCAGGTGGATCTTGATTATTGTGGTTAACAACTATCTACATGTATATGAAACTTCATATTAAGTTTGATGCACTTTGCGTTGGGTATCAAAATACTTCTTTGCAGATACATAGCCAATGAACCCACAACCTTTCGTCACTCTTATATGTCTATTCAAGTATTATGTTTTCTCTCTAATTGTTCAGCACTGCTGTCATTTACCTCCGGAAGTTGCCCAAGTCTCTCTGTTACTCCTGGGCTATGGTCCTTCGTTCTGGAATTATGAAGCAGAACTATGACGCGACCAGCCTAAGAAGTATGTCTCATACATAAACACAGCTCATTTGTAGTCAGTAAAGCGGAAGATGAAATAATGAATAATGTACCTGACTCACTCTGGGTTGTCTTACATGGAGATAAGTACAAACTTCTCATAGGCTGTGTTTATCGAGCACCAAGCGCAACAAAAGAAACTGATGCGTTATTAGCTAAATCGTTTGCACACGCATCCTCGTTTAGTGCTAATTACAAAATAATTGCAGGGGACTTCAATCTTCCAGAAGTCAATTGGCTAACTAGTTCCGGCCCCCAACGCTTCGACGAATTACTTGCCACTATCGACTGTTATGGATGGCAACAACACGTCCAGACACCTACTCGTGGTGACAACATGTTGGACCTTGTTTTTTGTCATGACACAATCCCAGTATCCACGTATGTTGGTAATAGATTTTCCAGTAGTGACCATAGAATGGTACTCTGCTCTCTGCCTTTCTCACCACTAAATACAGGAAACAAACAAGATTCAGGAAGCACAATATGTCGTAGTTACAAATATACAGACTGGGGATTAGTCCAAGAACTTATTCGACTCTGTCAATGGGATGACTATTTTACCACTGACTCCCTGGAGGCCTTAGTAACCCTGTTTTACAGGAATGTTACCCTTTGTCTAGATACAGTTGCTCCAAAGAAAATAGTGAAATTAAGTAGACACCGAACTGAATATATTCCAAGGGCACACCGTAATAAGTTAAGGAAGCTGAAGAAACAGTACTATTCCACTAAGGATACATCACTATTGCTCTCAATCCACGAGTCTCTTGAATCTATCAAGCGCCTACGCTCTCAAAAGGACCTCGACGAAGAGTTAACGGCACTTGAAAGTACCTCCAAAGTTTATAACTTAACGGCACTTCTTAAAAAACGAATGCAGTCGGCGAGGGAAATCCCATACTTACTTCACGACAAAGTAATCTACAATGAACCTGCCACTATCTGTGAACTTTCAGTGATTGGTTTGCAAACTTTAGTTTAGAAACACATATGCCTGGTGAAACCGCCTCCTTACTATCTCTTCCCTTGAAAGCATTGTGTTCACTAATCAGTTAATAGTACAAGCAATTAAAAGCCTTAAACCTTCCACTAGTACGGGACCGGATGGCCTCGCTTCGATAATTTTCAAAAACAGTGGGTGTGATATACCCTGTTACTTCTTAAATTCTTCTCAATATCTATGGACACTGGCACTTACCCTAGTGAGTGGAAAACTAGCTTCATAATTCCACATTACAAATCTGGTGATAGGGCAAACGTCCGCAATTACAGACCCATAAATATAACCCCAGTTATCTCACGAATCATGGAGAAAGTTGTAAAAGATCAATTGTCAGACTACCTAATTAGGGAAGATCTTGTTACAAGGTCTCAACACGGATTTCTCAAAAATAGATCCTGCGTTACTTGCCACTTCGACTTTTTCAACTGCATCACTAGTAGTCGCGAAGCACGTAAGCTAGTCGTTGTTCTCTACTTCGATATATCTAGGGCATTTGACATGGTATCTCACAGTATTCTCTTTGAGAAGCTGTACTCTTGTGGAATTCGCAACCCATTACTGAACTGGTTAAAATCATTTCTAAGCAACAGGGTACAAATAACCAAAGTTGGATCTGTATTGTCTCATCCTAGGCAGATCTCAAGTGGGGTCGTGCAAGGTAGTGTCCTAGGTCCACTTTTATTCACAGTCTACATTAACAGCATTTGCAAGTGCTTCACCTAAGGTAAACCATTCCTATATGCTGACGACCTCAAAGTCGTCTACTCCTGCTACACTCATGAATTAAGCGATATGGTTACTAAAATACATCTTGAACTAAGTAGTCTCGCAACATGGTGTGCTGAATCCTGTCTAAATTTTAACATTGACAAATGCGGCTGGATTTGTATCGGCAACAGTAACCTTGATCTAACTCTTGAAATAAATGGGCGAAAACTAGCTAAGCTCAACTCAGTCGTAGATCTCGGTATTAGATACTCTAGTAACCTAACGTTCGCTGAACAGACTGATTATGCCAGACGTAAAACGCGAAGGCTGATAGGATGCATAACACGCAATTTCTTTTGTTGTGAAACTAGGGTTTTATTATACAAAGTATGTGTCCGACCTATCTTAGAATACTGCCCGTTTATTCTTAGCGGACTCAGACAAAATGACAAGCTTAAATTAGAGGGAGTGCAACGGCAGTTTACCTCAAGAACTCTTGGTTTAGAAAGTGGTCTGGAATACCATGAGCGATGCGAAAGACTAAGATTAGAACCCCTCTGGAAAAGACGCCTTAAGCTAAACCTTATCTTTTACTATAAGCTAACTAATCTTCTCTTGCATTCCTCCGAGCCAATAACTAAACCTACCGCTGTCATCAGTTACAATCTTAGAAATCATCACAACCTAGCTGCTATAGAGCACTGTCAGACTTACGTGCGGTACAACTTCTTCTTAAATAAGTTTTCAGTCATTTGGAATAGACTACCAGCTAATGTGCGCGATGCAAACACACTTCCAGTGTTCATCTCCTCAGTCACCAGACTGCTCAAAGATGACAATGCACTTTTGCGCCTGACTCTTACACCTTCTTTTTCACCCTACATAGATATTTTAAGTTCTTTAAACGTGTAGTTACAACAAACTACAATTATAAATTTTAATATTATTGGAACTAGATGATTAACATTTCTACACAGGACAGTAATATTAGTTCACACATAATATAAAAGTTAGCATAACGGGACTAGTTAGTTTGTGAACAAAAATAACCATAGTTACTAAACAGAATATATATGTATATATTTATTAATCACTCCTTAAGGACTCCCGTTGCTTTCTTTTGCGTTGCTGTTGTTTGTCTTCTTTTTTCTCTCACCATTTCAGCTTCCATTTGACTTTTTGAATGAGAATGAATAATGTGGATATTTGACCATTTACAATGACAAATGATCTGCAAACATTATTGGTCCCGTATCTTTCAGTTGCCTGGTTAATAACGAATTAACTTTCCCCACGACGCAACCTGGATTACATTTGTGGAATATACTCTTATACCAATGGAAAAGTATCAATTTGTAATACAACGTCACGATTGTAGCTTATAACATAACTGATCGTATCTGTAAAAATAGCTTCCTTATTACCCAATTTGGATATAAATCAAAAATGAGATTCGGATTTGTACACACCCAAGTTATATTGAGGAATTACTTCAAGCTTTATTTTTTCCCAAGTATTTTTAATCCATCCAAAACTTACTTGGGTTTTTTTGTTAATGCGAAGTCAATATTCCTATATTTCATGATGTGCTCCATTGAATGACTGGTTATCATATTGTTCCCACAAACCAAAGACAAAAACGTCAGCAACCATGTAATTTAACCATAAACCAAATTTATGAAATTTAAATGATGCTTATCCATGCTTGTACATTCGGTGTGTCCCACACAGGTAGGAAAAAATATGTATTTTATTAAAACATTATTATAAAGTATGATTGCTAATCGTATATGTAATTTATCATACTGATGATGCCTGTAAACTGGCGTCCCTCATGTACAAAATGAGAATATATTATTATTATTACGAGTATGATGCACGCTGGTTCTACTCTCCACTCTCCAAACGATCACCGTGCATGTAGAGTATGCAATTTTGGATACTGTACTAAATGAGTCTGACAGTTGATGGTGCGTCACCTTTGTGTAGTTGTATCCACAATTTACACAAAAACACGGGATGAGGTTTTCCTTATTGTGAGAAACACTTTGTGAAGAACCCACCATTCATTGGGGTATATTAGATTAATGGATAACTGTTTGGTGTGTCCGCTATTCATCGTCTTCCTGTCAGCGCCATTAACTTTGGCCCTATTAGGTTCATCCTAAATTTCACCTATATCTTACCAGAGTCATTTCATTTATGACTTTAGGATAATTAAGCTTTATCACTTCCTTTACGGCCATTGTATTTCACTCTATCAAATATTAAATCTCCCCCTATCATTTATAATGCAATGTCGTGGGGAACAATACTTGGTACCAAGGAATCCAGCCAAAAGCATCTGTGACAGTCGAATTACTTTTGCAACTAAAAGCAGTAACACTAATATTATTAAAAGTGTGATCTACTTGTAAACTGGGGAACTCTAGTGTAACACAGCACCACATCCCGGCATAGTATTCTTTGTGTTGTAATATTCCTGCAAATACAAGAATTCATGGGCTGAGGACTT